CTGAGGTTGGCGGAGGACGAAACAGAAGGGGGCGGTCCCCAGCGCCGCTGACCGGCGGGCTTTTCCCTCTAGGTCGGCGGCAGGATAGCAGACAGGGTGTTCGACATCACCAGGTAAGGGTCGCTGCGAGGGGAAGAGGGTCAGCACTCAGGACCCCACACGCTCCGCTGTAGGAGCATGGCCAGGGGACGTGACCCTCGAGAAGAATCGGTGGCTTTTGTGGGCGTCTTTCTCTGCTTTCTCGTAGCGGCAACCACAGGAGGATGCTCGCCGTGTTTAGTTCGAAAACATGTTTGGAAAAGAGCAGACAAAATAATACAGTCTAAAACTTCAAATAGTTTTAAATCTTGGCTCTTTTTTATGTTACTGAACTTATTTTTTAGAACATTTCCTCTTGCTCTGGATGTTGGCTCTGGAAGAGGTTACATAGCTCAACATTTAACCAAGGTACTGGCTTTTCATAATTAAGTGTTTAAAAATAGGTATGTATTTATTCCTCTGTCTTCAAATAGGGCTCTCTTATAACTTAAAACAATTCTCTGAATATTGATAAGGTAATTTTCCCCCTCCCCAATATCTGTAGCAATAGTCCAAAGGTGTGTGTTACTTTATAGTCACTGAAGACTAGACAGAGAGCAGTGCAATGGAAACTTTGTTGTATGACACTTAACCTTTAGTCTTGAGTAGGGATATCTGTGTTTCTCTGTCAGTCTTTCTTAGGCGTACTTTGTTGTTAACGAGAAGTATTGTTACGGAAATTTCTAAATGGTGAACAGTTTAGCTTTAGTGAACCATGCTGTAAGTAAAGTTACGTCATTGGCTGTTAATCCACAGTTTGTATCTGATTGAACTTATACCTAAAAAGGCAGAATGTGTTTTCTGGTGCTACTTTTACCTCAACTGTTCTCCCTGGATTGCTAAGTATTACGTTGGGGTAAAAATGCTTTCTGCTTTATGTGAAGTTTTATCAAGTTTTAAGGAGATTGCTTCCAACTTAATATAAATGTGTTCTAATGTCAACTTATAAAATAATTTAAATATTTGATAGACTTTTAAAATTTTATTTCAGGAAACAATTGAAAAACTTATTCAAGTTGATATTGCAGAGAATGCTTTAGTAAGTAGCTTTCGATAATATACTTCAACTCCATAATGCAGGAAACCAAGAGGAGTGAGTTTCTGATGTTATTTTTCTTCTATCCCAACATTAGAAAAATGCTGTAGAATCTGAAATCCCTACAGTCAGTGTTGTAGCTGATGAAGAATTCCTTCCTTTCAAAGAAGATACATTTGATCTTGTTCTTAGCAGCTTAAGGTATGCATTAATAATTTATTTACATTTTTGTTTAAAGATGTTAAATAATGTTCTTTGAGATTAAATCGAAGGAGGAAAAAAAAGATAATCTATTAAACAGCTATAAATCATGCCATATGAAATGTACTTAATTACTTAGCATGAGTATACTTGGGAAAAAACTGCTGTTCTGATGGTTCTTTTTCTTTCAAGACATGTGTAGCTTCTCTCTTTCCTGCATTTTGACTAACTCATTTCCAGGACTTGCATCTTCTCAGCTTCAAAAAAAACCAAACAAAATCCAAAACCAAACAAAAAAACTATTTGTAAAAGCTTTAGTTTTTATTCAGTGTCACTTTTAGGCAGACATTTCAGAACTTCTGCAGTTTGATAATGTAAATGTACTTAGATAATGTAACAATTATTTGCATTCCCTACATTTTATTTTTTATGCAATTATAAAATGTACTCTTCCATAATTTCAGTTTACATTGGGTGAATGACCTTCCCAGAGCTTTTAGAGAGGTAAGAAACCATTTTTTAATAGTAAAAATCTACACTTGCCCTCACTTGCATTCAGAGCACTTTATTTCCAGGTCCTCTTTAAATAAGAGGCACAGAAGTAGCTCATGTTGCACACAAGTATTTTTTTTGCAGTTTGAGGAGCATCAGTTGATATTTCTACTAATTTACTATCTCAAATAAATTGGGAATAAATATGAAACAACATGTTTGTATAATACTTTATAGTCTCAACAGCTGAGATCATGGTAACTAATATTAACTGAGGTAAGGCTTTTGATTTTATTGTTAGTTCTTACTACTTGCAGTACAAGAGTTTTTTAGTTCTAATGTTTCCAGAACTTGTTTATGGAACTTGTATTATTTTTATGTCTCAGCTGTTTATTTTTAAGTACAATGTTAATCAGATAAAGGCTTTTTTATTTTTAAATGAAGCAAAGACTTGTTAAGAACAGAAAACTGAATCTGATTTCAGATTATTTCAGCTCCTTCCTGCAGGTGAAAATGATTTTCAAATCAGCCAGTTTGGAAACATGAGCAAGGAATATTTTAACCACTTTGCTGTTTTTTCATTTATTGTTAATTGGTCAGTCATTACAGTGCTATTCTGTCACCTCCTGGTATGAATAGGATTACTCTGCTGTTATGGAAATAAAAACAAAACTCAGAAAACCTTCAGTATTTTATTATTTTTTTTAAAACGCTTGGAAATACATATATAATTTTCTCTGGGATTTAAATGTTCTGTGGAGTGTAAAATATTTTTATCTCGGATGAAATGACTGACACACTGTAATGTCCCATAAAGTGGAAGAAACTGGGATTTTTGGCCAGCTTTCATCTCCAGTGCTCCATTTCCTACTTTGAGACCACTGTCTTTAACTAATGGAAACTGCCTTCAACTGCTAAAATGTCTTATCTGTCAATTAAAGGCTTATTTATTAGCATAAAAGGGTAGCTTGATTAATACTTAATTAAAAACAAGTTTAAAGTACTTTTATTTCAAATCAGTAAGGTAAACTGTTTTAAAGCTTTTGCTGTCTTGTTAGCCTGATTATGTAATACGGCTTTTGTGGATATCTAAACCAGTTCTTAAGAAAAAAAGTATGAATTTGTTGGCCTTCTCAGTAGGAAGCTGGGACTTACTAGACAAGCAAGCAGCTTATCAACCTTGTTGCTTGAGTTGAAAATAAGTAGGGGTAGATACAATATAAATTGTATTACTCTTACTATGTGTTCAGAAGTGCAAAGGCCACTACTAGAAACTGAGGCCTCCATTTTGTTCAAATCAATCCATTAAAAAGTATTTTTGCTGCCCTCATCTGAAAAAGTAAAAGTAAGCAGAAGCTATCTTAATTTACCTTCTTTTCAGAAGTAAAGTAATTGAGGATATTGTTTTAGGAGTATCCCATTGAAAATAGTTTTACCTTAGATTTCCACAGTGCATTTTGTGTTTCCTGACCGTAAGTTTAATTTCTGGTAATTCACTTTTAAGAACAGTCAGTCTCTTTTCGGACAGATTTATCTTGCAAAGTAACAGAAGCGATGACACAGCTTGCCTTGTGGAATACAGTCAGTATTAAAAATCTGCTACAACTATCATAACAATTGCTTTTAAGTTCATTTAAAAAAATAGTCCTAAGAACTTCTTAGTTACTTAGACTTAATATCAAACTTTTTTTCCCCCCTGTATTGTAGATTCACCAAGTTCTTAAGCCAGATGGAGTATTTATTGGTGCAATGTTTGGCGGAGATACTCTGTATGAGCTCCGCTGCTCCTTGCAACTAGCAGAACTGGAGAGGGAAGGGGGATTTTCTCCTCATGTATCACCATTCACTGCTGTCTCTGATCTGGGACATCTGCTGTCGAGAGCTGGCTTTAACACCCTGACTGTGGTAATTATAAATAAGAGAGGAATCAGACAGAACAATCCAGAACATAAAAAATACTCTTTATGAATGTATTAGTAACATACTGCTTCCCTTTGCATGTTGTGCACCTTGCTGAGTAAGTTTCTGAAATCACCCAGACTGCCTTTGTTCTTGGCTTCACTGTGATTAATGAAACCAACTGAAGTGTATCTTTGGCTAGTGGCCCAGTAAAATTTGGATGCTTTTCTTGAAGAAATGTCAGAGAATGTTAGTCCTGCTTGAAAAACCTTTAGACACTCTTGCTGTTTCTTCTAAAACCAAGAAGAAAATAATGGCATTTCAATTAAAATTTTATTGCTTTTGTGCTACTAAGTAAAACTTTTTAGAAATGTTAAGACAGTATTCTTCTGAGAAATACATAGTCTGAACAGAAGTGGTGGATTAATAGTCTGTTGGCAGCTCTGAAGGCTAGCATAATGCTACTATTCTAGCTTGATATGCTTTAAAACTAAGTTGCTCAATTCTTTTAGGATACTGATGAAATTCAAGTCATCTATCCAGGGTTGTTTGAGGTTATGGAAGACTTGCAAGGTAAGTATATATTTTATGGAAACAGAAATGTTTTCTGTATCAGTGATGTAGTCACAGAAGAGTTTCTCTGTGTGTTTCTTAACTCCAGGTCATAGAATGATTTGGGTTGGAAGGGACCTTTACAGGTCATGTAGTCTGCAATGAGCAGGGACATCTTCAGCTGTTCAGGTTGCTCAGAGCCCTGTTCAACCACACCTTGAATTTCCAGGAATAGTACATCTGCCACCTCTCTAAACAACCTGTTCCATCATAAGAAATTTCTTATGAATGCTTCCTTTGTAGTCCCATTCTTTGTGAGCATGTTCAGTGTAAGCTACTGAGAAGCCTTGAAAGGTAGACAGAAGCATATATCCCACGTGTGAGCCTGTGAGCCTTCCTCATTATCAGGATGTTCAGGAAACTGCTTTGGAATGAGGAAAAAATAGACCCTCAGACTGGGGTCTGCTGAGGAATGCAAAAAAACTGAGATGCTTAACACTTGAGTTAGTATTCTGATTGCATTTGACATGTATTGTAAAGTAGTCATTCATAAGCAGTCATTTGTTACTTACAGAGCAATTCAGGGCATCTTCTTACTCTGAATCAGCTGCTCTTTAGAGTAACTCCTTAATGAAAATAAAACTTTCATTCTCTGTAGAAACATTCAGATGCAGTAAGTGATTAAAAAGATTAGAATTGAGGTTGTTTTATTTCTTATTAAAACAACTCTTGGAATAGTCTTTGCTTATCTGGTAAAAGAAAAAAAAGATTGGTGCGTTTGAATAAACAATTTGTACATGTGCTTAAAATAAATTATACTAGAAAACCTAAGTGTTTGAAGATTCGGGCTGCAGAAGTAACAATTTGAAATAATTTCTAGCCTTACAAACTGCTAATTGCAAAGCATTGGCATTAAAAGGCTTAGATTCTTACAGGTAAAAGATTCATCTAATTATTTGTGGTATGCTGTTCTCTTTTACAGTGAGATTCAAAGGATTTTATATTTATTCTGGTTTAATAAAATTCTGTCATTAGTGCATGACATTTAACTCATGGCATATGCTATATCTTCTTTTTCTTAAAGCTAAAACATATTTTTAGGTATGGGGGAGAGTAATTGCTCTTGGAATAGAAAACCTCTGCTACACAGGGAGACAATGTTGGCAGCTGCTGCAATATACCAAGGTAAGTATTTGCGAGGTAATGAGTTATTCTGAAATGACTTTAAGAACATATTTTCTTTTTCTCTCCTGTGTAAAAACAAACAAAAACTATCCTGAAAAAAAACCAAAAACAAATCCAAAAAACAACCAACCAAAACATTTTAAAATAGAACTAAATACTATTTTCATACAGGCATTTTTAACCTTAATTATAATGACAGGATTTGAACTAAATTTACTCACCAGTATGAGATATTTTTATTGTCCCAAATCTTTCACCAATAGTCATTATGATGGATATGTCATACCTAGTTCTAATGTTCTGAGAACTAAGTATTTCTCAGAACTGATGTTCTCCGTATTTATTTTTTTAATATCTTCTCCCTTCCTGCCCTAACAGAAATGTATGGAGATAGCGATGGCTCAGTACCTGCCACGTTTCAGATCTACTACATGATTGGCTGGAAATTCCATGAATCACAGGTAACATAGCTGAACTATTTTCAGTTTGAAGGTACTTTCTAAATTACTGATGCTTTAAAAGGTTTTAAAGATATTTTAACTTAAAATTAGCCCTATTTTTTTCCTTTTTTTTAGGCAAGACCAGCCCAGAGAGGTTCTGCAACAGTTTCATTAGGTGATCTGGCAAAAATGGATGCACTTCTTTCAAGAAGCAAAAAATAGTTCTTCACCAGAAATTATAATAGTTGTCTTGAAGCTTCTACAAACTTCTCATTGCAGATAGTTTTCACTTGTACTTATTTTGTGACATTTTGAAATGAAAGTAATCTGCATGCAGCAGGGTTTATTTTACTGCCTATGCTACATCAGTTGTGTAAATTGGTGTTCATTTTTTGTTCTAGATAAATAATTTGAGTAGTATTCAAAGGGAATACATGCTCTCCCAACTTTTTATTAAATTACTATTCTGAAACTTAATGTCTCTTCCAGCATTTCAGTATCACAGACTGGTCCAGGTACAGTTTGCAATTCTTGTGTGTACCACCCTGCACTATTTTTTAATTATATCTAAAGGATGGTAGATCATACTAAAGAATAATACTTGGTGGCAAGTGTATTTATAAGAAATTCTGTAAGAGAAAACATCAGCTAATAGATCTAAATAATTATGGCTTTTTGGGTGTTGGAAATTATGGGTAAAAAGTTACTGTCAGTTACTGTTTGAAATTTGAATGTTTGACTTCAGTATAAGCAAGTGGTTAAGTAAGTTCTTGTTATAAAAATATCTCAGATTGCTATCCTTCACCTACAGCCCTCAAACTCAATTACTTTTCCTACCACCCCCAAAGCTAGAAATGTTTCTGAACATAGTAGTACAGCTTGGCCATAAGGAAAATTGGATGCCTCATTGTAGCTCTAACAAAATGCATATATCATGAATTTACTTAATTGACTGAAGAGAGTAGCAAGCAGAAATCACCTAGCACTCAGATGAACATGTACATGGCAAATTAACTAATTAGCTTAGAATTGCCATTCTCTGGAGTTGATACTCTTTTGGAGTTCCATGGCATTTTCCTACCTGTTCTTTTATCTCTCAGCATTTGAAAAATTAATGGTAGTTTAAATATTAGTTTAAAATTGTTTAAATGTTACTTTCTGCTTTTCTGCTATCAGAGGCTGAAAAGCATGAGGTATACTTTTTTCTCCTTAGTTAAGACATGGTGGTATTACTTGTCCTGTATTATAACTGCTTTACCAGAAATTGATATTAGTTACAAATACAGCCCATTAACCTGAGGTGTTTAGGAAAAAAAAAATCTACCCAGTGATTTCCCTTGATTGTCGTACAGATAAAGAATTCTGAAAGTGTGAAGAATAGACCATCAGGTACAGCGTTCAATCAGTTTATCATGGTATCTAGCTGGTATATTTAGAAATGGTGAAAGGAAAGGTTCTCTAGGCTTGTAAGAAGATTATCCTACTGGTGGAGTTTCACAGAGGCACAGACCAGATAGGCAATGTAGGCGAAAGCCTTCATATTATGTTAGGGGCTATGATTTGAAGATTAATACAGATCATTAAAGTTACCTTGTACTGCTTAACAGTGTTCAATTTTCAAAATAATAGAAATGCTTTTTAAAAAGAAACTATATGTGCATTATTCGGCTGGCTAGTAGATCAACTTAAGGGCCTATTTTTGGTATTTGTTTTATCTACAAGGCTTTGACTTTGAATAAGGAATAGGCAGAGAAGATAAAAAACATGATGATAAGGCAGGTAGAAATACTCTGTCCTGCTTTTTGTTTACAGGGATAATTCATAATATTTCAAGAGGAATAAGTGCATCTTTCATTTTCATTAGAAAAGAATAACACTTCTGCAAAAATGGTGAGAGGCTGTAAGTGGTCTGAACCTTTGTAGCTCTTTATTTAAAGGCTAAATCTAAACCAAGAGTTTGTCTGAAAGCCACCTTTTTTTATAGTACATCAGTGGACTTAATAGAAGATACTGCCTCCCTCTACAGATCTTCTCTTGCTTAAATAAAACCCACTTATTTCAAGGACAAACTCTTCAGTTTCCCAGATGTAGGTTTCTATGAAGTTGTGTCAAATGACAGTAACTTTACACATTTTTGCTTTAGTAGGTTAATTCCCAGTCACTTGGGCTGGTGGTTGTGATTCGGATGTGTTAAGGGAATGAGGAGGTTGAATGTGCTGGGTAAATGTTGATTGGACAAGTGTTCCTACTGTGCTTGTTTGAAGCACTTGGTTAGGTTACAGAGGAAAGGAGGGATTCCCAGTTCTTTGATTCCATGTTCCACAGATGGAATATATAAATAGTAAAGTAGGTAGGAATTTGGTTGTTAATGGGGGAAGATACCTTCTGGACAGGGAAAAATGGAAGAGTAGTTTTCTTTCTAGCACTAGGAATTAAAAAATACAGCTATTCAGTTAACTTGGAAAAGGGTTGGGGAGTAGTAGAAGTGGGGAGCAATAAATATGGCATTGGAGCAGTTTTGGTTGGAATTAGGGGACATGCAGCTGACAGGCAAGATGTTTGTTTCCCTGGCTGACTACATTTGAATGACTGCCTTTTATGGGTGTTACTAATTGCAGGGGGCTTTTTTTTCTGTAGTATTTCATCCTGAAATTCTAGGTGACTCTGGTTTCCACTAGCCACTTTCTTTGTATGAATAGCTTTGAAAACAGGTTACTATGAACAGATGTTTTTGTGACATAACTCTCTTACATTTTTGTTCTTTTTTCAGATTTAAGTCTTTCTGAAATTGTAATGAAGAAGAATGTGGTTGTCAGTTGCTAGTCTAAAAATTATTTTAATCTCTTAAGTGCATGTTAAAAATCAGCTTTTGCAAAGTAACTTCTAAAAAGTAGTTGCTAAGGTGATATAATGTCTTCTGTAAGCATAGTTTTAAAAATCGTGATGGATAATATGGGATGCTTAGTCATGGCTACAGAAGAAAGGAAAACAGAATTCTGTGAGACAATTATTTTGACTAATCGAATGTTAGGAACCCATAAATAACAACCCCAGATTTTAGAATCAACACAGTCACACTTAATGAACATCAGTATTTTTGAATCTCCAAAAGGTTCTGAGGGTCTGAGTCACGAATCAATGAGTATGCTTGTTCAGTGTCTTTGATTACAAGATCTGTCAATGGATAGTTTTATGCAAGTCTTCTTAGAATGATGATAATGGGACCTTACATTTTGTAACACAAACATTAGATTTTACAGTTACTGTGCTTTCAAAAGGCACTGAGAATTTGTAAAGTTAAACCATGGGAAAGGATTCTTGATTACCTCTGATCCGTAAAAATGTCTTCAGCAGAAGTTCCAAAGGAAACCATACAAAATTAAAATAAATTAAAAAACAACAAACACAAAAAACCAACCACTTGTATTTTTTTTTACCCTACTTAAAGAAGAAATAAACATGAATGACACTTTCTATCAATGTTTTCTAGAAGTGAGCTAAAGCTAGACTTTGTCAGTTGCAGGGGAGAAACAGACGAATCTTTCATATAGTATTCAGTTGGAATTTCCTGGTGGAATGATCTGACCTAGTAGATTAAATCCATTAGAGCATCTTGTTCAAGAAGCCACATTAGGAAAGTTAGCACATTTGATAACCTTTTAAATTTTCATTTGGCTAACCCAATAACTTAATTACTTTGAGAAGTGGATATTATTTATTTTGGTCCAGGTTTTGGAGTCATTATTTTGGGGGAGTACAGGTATTGTAGTAGTTTGATTGGAATCAAAAGTGTGAGTACTGAAGGAGATGTGACTTGTATAGCTAATTTGTTGATTTCCTGAATATCTTAAGTGCTCTCAGGTGAAGGAAAAGGAAAAAAGGAAAAAAAACAAAACTCACAAACCAAAAAACCCCTAACTCTGTGAGTTAAGTTTTAAGTTTTAGCTGCATATCCATGTGAAGCAGAAAACTCTGAATAGAGTTCATGTGCTTGATTCTAACTTGATTTAAGCCACAGGTTGAATTCCCCTACAACAAAGTGGTTTGATTTATTAGTAGCTTGTAATTAACTTCGTGAATTATACATGCAGGATTAATAGCAGCAATATAACAGATAATTGGGTGTACTAGATCCTTACAAAACTTAGGTAAACACCTTCATATACCTAAACACCCTTCTACAGCAATCCTTCCACAAGTTTGCAGTTACATGCTCACCTCTGTCCCTTTAACAGGAGGTTTGGGTTACAAGAGCCCACACTTCTAGAAGCGTGTTACCCTATTTACACACATCTCCTTGGGAGACTTGAGTGCTGTGGCTGCATGGGTATCTGTGCTGTTCCCCACACTCCACTAATCCACCCACCTGCTGGGATGGCATCCCTCAAGGTGAGGTGCAGACACTTCACAAGTGGTCACTGCCTGTTTGCACCCTGTGCTATCAGCCCACTGGCAGGTGTGCAGGCTATTCCTGGCTCCTGGAGTCCCTTCACTAGAGCTCGAGACACCAGGGGGGCATCTTCTCAGTGTCAAACTAGATTTTGACTACTCTCTTCTTCTGTTAGAAATCCTGTTAGGAATTTTATGGGTTTTTATACTTAAGCTGACTTTTTTTTACATTTCCCCCACCCAAGGTCTCTTGGTAACTGCGTGGTTAGTGTTTAATGTGGCTGATGATTGTCTTCATTTTCAGCCTTACCAGACTTTGAGCAAACACCCTCTCAGTTTTGGATGTTACGTTCACACAGATTGCACTTGTATTTCTATCTTAGTGTCTGAGGTTGTCCAAGCCTTTTTGCTAAAAGGAGTCTATGTGGATTTCCCCTATCAGTTGAGGGTGATTCTTGGGGTACAAGGTACATTGATGAAATAAGAGAGAAAGTCCTTCTCAAAAAAATGTTTTTGTTTAAAACCTTAAGTTAGAGCAGTGATGATGAATACTAGGGAATCTTACTTGGCCTCAGAAGTGTTCATGATAGGCTGTAATATATCACAACATAGCAGTTTTCTGATGATAATTTGTAAAATAAAGAGGCTTCATTTTTACTGCACTAATGACTCCCAATTCATGTATTTGTTTTGTTTTTCTGCATTCTGTAGGGATTCATTTTGCTTTGTACAAATAGAAGTGCAACTTGAATTTGGGATCTGCACATCATGTGTGGCTTATGATCATTGACCTGTTCTTTTAATATTGCACCCAATTTGTGTGAGCACACTAAGAAAATGA